GGGTGAGGAACTAGGCCTAATCCATCCCTTTTCTAGCATCTCATCTAGCTGGGTTCGCAGTTCATCAAATTCTTTTGGTGACATTCTATAAATTGGGCCCTTTGGAATCTGACTTCCAGGAATAATTTCAATGCGATGCTTGATTGGTCGTTCCACCACACCGCTCGGGGCCTCTACCACATTTGGAAAATCTTTCAGAATTTTTTCAATTTCTGGGGATTTTTCTTCCTCAACTTTCCCTTCCTTTATTGGGCGCTCATATGCCACAAATACTTGATCAAACAGGTTATTTTTCTTTATGTGATGGGCAAACCCAGGGGCACTCATGCAACAATGAGCTAAGCTGCTTTCTTTACTGGATTCATGGTACAAGCGGATCTTCTTCTTTCCACCCTGCGGACTAGGGAGCCAATACTCATGCGCCCTCAATTTCACATCCGCATTCGCAGCTTCCCCCCAATCTGTGTTTAAAAGAATATCGAAAGGGAGATTATCTTCCACCAAGAGAGTCGGAGAACATGTTCCACCTTTCCCTCTGCTTCGAGCCGAAAGTATGTCTTAACCCCCTCAACATATATGTCCATAACAATCTCGTTGTTATTTGTTATTATACTTGTTATAGGCTCATCCAACTGCTTTACCTTTAGCCCAAGACGCTTCTTCCGCATACCTTTCTTACTAATATAGTTGCGAGTTGACCCACTGTAAATCATTCCACCTACTCTTACTTTATTAACTTCTAAATCTGCAATTATAAGTTGTCTTTTCCGTTTCTTCATTTCGACCCAGGCTTTGCAGCGAGTGGCCAACTCATCACCCATGCCTGCGACGGATCCACCTAGAGAGGTACATACGCTAACTACCTCTGGACAGCTGACTAAGTGGGGATCATTTACCTTTTCAGTTTCTTCCACGGGAACATTCGAATGGGAGGATGTCAGTCTTCTTGCATATGAAGTTCCTGTAGAGGCAACTGAAACCCCGACTGGCTGTTCCCTTTTGGTTATCTGTAGTCTGGACAAAAGGGAACGATGTGGTTGGGGTCACCACATTTGAGGCACTGATCCACAACTTTTCTTTCTTGCCAAACTTTTTTCGTTATCCCCATCTTTTCCCAAGGTCTGCCTTCGAGCAGGCTAGGATGGGGTGGATACGGTCGATCCCAGTTTCCGTTCCTGTTTTCGTTCCACGCGCCTCTTCCTCTTCCCCATGTGGAGTTGGGTCCTCGGCCACCTTGCGAGGGACCATTGCCCCTTCCACCCACGTAGTAGCTACCTTCGCTACCACCCCTCTGGGTGCCTGACCCTCTACCTCCACGACCGCAACCTCCTCTTCCTCTACCACGGCCTCTTCCTTGTTGCCCTCCCCCACGGGCTGCAACGGCCGCGTAGTCCCCCTCCTGAACTACCGGCCCGTTGTGCACATCTCCCTCTAAACCATAATCTATTTGGTCGTATGAGAGAGTTTCGACACCTCCTTCTTCAAAGGGAAGAAGGAGGTCCTTTCCCGGTATACTTCCCGAGATTGTGCAATTTTGCGACTTCTTCCTGACTTGCAGGTCTTTCCAATAATGGCAATAGTTTGCCTCTGCCAGGAAACCAGCATGATCTATCGCAATCTTACTAAATTTCTCATATGTCATCCTCTCCTTTTTGGCACGGGGATATAGTTGAGTACGGAGAGGGTCGGACAGTGCCCTAGCAAAGTTGTTAAGGATTTGCATTGGGGTAAGTCCATGTTCAGCGCATTGCAAGAATTCGTTCATGGTAGCCTTAAGTGCGGACACACTTTTTCACTTTCGATCTGCAATGTTTAGGATTAACATTTCTGTTCTTCGGACTAAATTCTTGTCATCAAATCTTTCCCGGATTGCTTTGAAGAAGTCTTCGATACGGGTTTGTTGGGAATATTCTATCATTGTCTGACAAGATGCTTCTTTTTGCAGAGAAATGGTGAAACTCATTTCATCCCCGGCCATACATGAACTGACCATAAGAACCTTATCCCAATACGGAATGCGCTGTCCATACACGTAGGACTCCACTGCAGTTATCCAATGCAACAAACTTTCTTCCTTTTTGCCTGTGTAAGTCCACGACACTTTCATTTTGATCTTTCTTACTTCCACGACTTCTTCTTGCTGCACGCCCTTCTTTTTCTTGTCTCCATCTCCTCCATATGCGTCTCCATTTCCTCCTCCCCCTCTGCTGCCGCGTATGATTTTCTCAATTTCCAGCGGGGGTAAATGTTTTGTTGAGCCGCTCATCTAATTTTTCAATGTATGCTTCAATGTGCTGATCTACCTCTTGAGCGGATCTCTGCAGGAAGGTATTCCAGACCCCTTGGTTGTGCTCAACTTTCTGCACGGTCCTATTCAATGCAGCCAGTTCTTGCTTAGTGTGAAGAACGGTTTCAGCCAAGAGGGCAAGTTGTAGTTCAGTGGCCGTCTGTTTTTCTTTTTGTTCCTATAACTCCCTTTGCAATCTCTCACCCTTTGTCTGCAGTCTCTTTCTTTCTTCCAGCTCTTGCCTTTTTGCTGCTAACATTTTGTTGTGCAGTTCTGCTCGTTTTTCTTCCAACACAAGTTCTTTTTCCTTTTTATCTTCAATTGAAGCTAACTTTGCGATAAAGGTATCCCGTTCCTCATCTGTCTCTTCAACCCTTTCACTTGAATAACTGTATTGATCATACCAATTCAGGGGTTGTAGCTGAATGGTTATCCCACCAGCCTGACTGCTTTCACCTCTCTCACTCCGACGTCTGATGAGTCTATCACCTTCATCTTCAGGTTCATCTTCTTCCTCAATATTCTTTAACTCTTCCTGCAGCTCTTTTTTCATCTTTTCTTTAACTCTTTTTTTACTCTATCTTCCTCCACCTGAGCTTTCTTTCTCAATTCTTCTTCTTTCTGTTTCTTTTTTAGTTCTTTTTCTTTTTTTTTCTGGGCCAGGCGGCGATCTATCTCAGCTTGCTCTACCGCCGAGATCCCTTGCTTCATCTTCCCTGATCTCATCTCCATCATGTGGGAGGCGCATACCCTCCTGAAGCCAAGGGGAAAGAAAAAACAAAACAGTGGTCCCAAAAGCACAGACAGGACCATACATGGGACAGTCATCCATGGTGGAGGACAACACAGGAGAGAACCTCCGTTGGACCACCAAGTAGCTACCCCAGATCCTAGTCTACCTGATTGGATGGGATCTGTTCTTTTTTTTTTTTTTTTTTTTTCAAAGTCTGGATGTCACTGCTTCAGAATAACGAAAATTTAATAATATCAATTAATATGCAACTTTTCCTAATCAAATATAAGTAGGAATTCTTTTTCTTTTATTTGTTTGCTTGCTGCCTGTTTTGTCACTTTGCTAATGACTTCCTTTATTCTTTCGTTTGCCTGGCTGGGTCACTTTTCGATCGCTGATTAGTGTAGGTAGCTGGGAGGTACTGGTGCTATACTTCAGAATAAATCAAATTCGCAGGAATAACTTTGCTCACGGGCCACTAACACTCTGGCATGGCAGTACACAACTCCCAGTCTAATCGTATTTTCACTTGTCAAACCGGATGACAACACTAAGACCAGATGCTGACTCCTCTGACCATCAGACCAGACCAGACCAAGGTGTTTCGTCCAGACAGCAACAGCGACCACCAGAATTGAGGGGTAAGAAAGATACACAACACACAGATTTACAATCAACAAGCTAGGTGGGTTCAGGAGGTGCTTCTCTTCTTTGTTGCCGTCATGTTGCCATGAGAGGGACCCATCTTGAGCCCACACAATAAATCCAAGAACTCCAATACTTATCGTAGATAGGGGTCGGGAGTTATGTTTTCCCGCCCTCCGAACCGCACATGATAGTTTCCCATCATACGGCTCTCCGCCACAAATCATCGTTCGATAATGTTCGCGATAAACTCGGTGAAGACTCCACGTTCGCGCCAACGCTCCAATCGCAAAGCAGGTATGCATTTATCCTCCACCCCTTCTTCTTCGGCACACTTCCCCCTCTCAATCCCAATCCAATTTCCCCTCACCTCGCCTCACTTCCTCCCTCACTAGCTATACCCAAGCCAACTTTCTTCTTCTGGCTGGCCTAGATCATGCCAGCACACATCAGCGAGTGTAACAAGTTCTGCTCCGATACCAAAATTGCAAGGAACCTGTCCGTTCATCACTTGTTGGAGTGTACCGGATAGCATGCATGAAACACAGATCGCACAGATTGCAATGTCTCACACGAAGTTCAATGGAAGATGAGTGGAAACCAGGAAGCACAACTCAATTATCATAACCAGTTTAAAGAAAGAGAATCGCGAGTTTGAAAATGTATAGCGCCCAACAGAATTAGGAGTCTTCTTCATCCAACAGGAATACCAGCAGCGCCAGCAGCCAATCATCAAGAACAGCGCTCTTCAGGTAAGTCTGACCATACATAGCTCACTCCTCTCTCTCCTCTCCTGGTCTCTCTTCTCTCTCTATCTGACTATAGTTCCAATCCTCTTTTCCAGTAGGATCTGGCCCTAAGGCCCCAACAGACCCAACAGAGCCAAGGGCACAAGACAACCGCTGGCCAAAACGTAACTGAAACTGAAAGTCAGCAGATCGTCAGATCGAAACTGCCTTGTATCAGACGAAACCCACTTTTTTCAAACCCACCGAGTCCTAAGGCAGACAAGAACACCACACCCATAACAGCCCCTGGTCTTTTTTTTTTTTTTTTTTTTTGGAAGAAGATCAGTCTTTATTAATCATCAAAGCCGGGAAGCAGGCCCGGCATCCCTTACAAAAGTCGCCACAGTTCTGAGCTGAGCGGGGCTCTCCGGCCAGTTGGCCTGCTTCCTTTTTTTTTTTTGGAGTTTTTGGCCTTCTGTGTTTATCTTATGCAGGAAAGGAGACTCTCATCGGCTGAATTGAAGATTTTTTTGCAGAACACCTTTTTTTTTTTTTTTTAATAGTCAATTTAGTTTGTTTTCTTTTCATTGGTTTTTCTGTCTTGCAGGGTGAGAAAAGATGCCACAGCAGTAGCACGTTTGGGCAGCAAAGTGATCGTAGCCTCCTCTCGTCAGCCGCACCTACTTCAACGAAAGGATTACGGAAGAGCAGGGGGAACTCCAGGAAGACCTCCGCTGCCACCAGCTCACTCTGCTTAGGGGCGGCTTTATCCAAGGGCCCGATTTTGAACGGTCCAGGGGGCGCTTCTCGTTCCCAATGCTTTTGGGCAGCACTCCTCGTGATTGTCGTGATCGTGGTATCGGTGTGCATAACGATTCCGGTCATGATTACTGTCGTCATGCATTGGAATGCAAAGAGCATTCATTCGCCACAGAGTGAGTGAAGAAATACTGATTTTTCAATATTTTTTTTTAAATGTTTAATTTTAAAAATCTCCTGACTATTTGGCACATCTTTAAGGTGCTGCACTTACCCGAGTGCAGCACCTATAAGACTTGCCAAATAGTCAATTTGAGGGAAATCTATTATCCCTAGGGAGCACGGCAGCCCCCATAGAAATCGTGTTTGAGGCACTTCTTATATTTTCCTTTCTTTTCCCACGCCACAGCAGGTCTCAGTCCAATTGCTTATCACCGGCCAGCATGGAAAGAGTTCGGAAGAGACAAGAAAGACAAAAAAGGAGGAGAAAAGACAGAGAGAGGCCATGCCCCTTGGCTCTAAACGCAATTGGGGGGGAGGGTGTGCTCGCGTAGAATATATGGGCCAATCTATTCCAAGTTCCAACCATTAAGAGGTCCCTTGGCCAAAGTTCATTATCACCAGGGAACAACGCCGCCCCCCTTATACTGTTGCAGGCACTTCTGAAAAAAACAAGCACTGACTATTTGGCACATCTTGAAGGCGCTGTACTGACTGTTCGGTTCTAGACCCAATCAAGGGGGCCACTTTCAGATCCTGAGTAACGGGTCGAAAACTGAAATTAGGGTTTAGGGTTTTGCCTGTTCTTGTTTTGGTTCACGGTTGCTGTGTGCCAAATTTGGTATCATTTGGGCCATTGGTATTTCCTCTGATGAGATTTCTGAAATTTCTCAAGATTTCTGAAATTGGAATGTTGGCGGAATTTCATGAAAGTGCACTTTTGGCTTGCTGTTTTTTTTTTTTTTTTTTTTTTTTTTCTTTTGTAAGGGCTTTAGACCTGTCTCTTATACACATCTAGATGTGTATAAGA